AAAAATCTCACCAAAAAAGGTTCCAATGCATAAATAGAAAAACAATTATGACAACACCTAATAATACACACAATCTAATTTCTCAAAAAAAAAATAATAATAATACACATAACCTAACCCCCTTGGAGTTTACTACCAACAGGCACAAAATAATTTTATTTTTTTCACTACCATTTTTGTTAAATAATCAGCAATATAGTTTGCTACTTTGCTTTCTAAAGGTATAGGCAAAATCAACAATCCAATTTTGCTTATAGCAATTAAAAACTTTCCACTCCTTCCAAAGTCATGAATATGTATTGATTATCTAGGATATAATTGTTACGTTAAATCTAATACCATATACATTTACCTAATTTTAAGGGGATATAGAAATTAATTAATGAGAAAAAGTTACATGTTTAAAAAATGAATGAAAATAAAATTAGATATTAATTGTATGAAATTTTTGTTATATTAATTTATTAAATTTAGAACTTAATTATATGTATGTTTTCTTAGAATGGATGAAAGAGTTGTATTAATATATATTTTATATTATAAAGGAGTTGAACTTATATTAAAACCAAACCATTAGCATTTTTATTTCAATATTATGTGTGTTTTTGTTATGAATTGATGGCATATCAAGATGGCATCTTGAAATATCTATCTATCTAAAAAATAAATAATTGAATTAAGAATGTCTATCTAAAAAGAAATATAAAAGAATATAGGAAATTGGATCTAAGAGTTTCAATTATAGTTTTAGTATTTCCAAAATTTTAATATTTGTTAAATGAAATAAGTGGTAAATTTCACAAAATTGAGGAATTTTATTCCATTTTTTATGATTTTTAAAAATTATAAACTAACACCCTAAGAATCATCTAAAGCTTTATTCACTGGGAGCTTAGAAAATAATTTTTTTTTCATTTTAAATTGAAACCAAGATATATTTAACCAAGTCATAATCAACTATATTGTTTTAGGTCAATTTGGTTTACAATACAATATTTAAGGATCCTTATAATTTGGCTTCCAATCAATGCATAGCCATCCAACATGATAGCATTCAAAATAATCAACCATCCCTAACATCTTATTGTAAAATCCTTGCAAAGCAACATAATCTTATCGAGTAACCTCCTAAAATTTTTTTAAAAAAATCACTAAGTCATTGCTAATTAATACCTCACAAAGGAAAAGAATTCTTTAGCAATATCACATTCAATATATATATATAGAAAATATCAAAGATTCACCTTTAAATTATAAATTAGAAAAAAAATTATACTAAAATATATAGTTAATAAAATTGCTATTCTAAAAATAAAATCCAACAATTATATAAAGAAAAAAAATGAGTAAAACCTCAATAAACATACAAAAGAATAGCAAGTAAGACTACAAAATAAATTTTTTATAAGATAATACAGATAAAATTACAGTAGAACAAAGTAGGAGAATAGTCTAATTCTATTTGCTTAATATTCTTTTTAGAAAAACATTTATATTTATATTACTATCAAGAAATATTATTGTAAATGCACTAAAAAGTTACTAATATTAACCAAATAATATAATATGTAATAAAAGACATAAAATTAATACGGTTTTCTTTTTAAAATTACAAATTCTGAATTATTGCTTAATCTGTTATCTTTTTTAAAAAAGAAAACAAAATCTTTTCTAATTTAACAGTATCATTATTATCAATTCATTAAATGGCTCATTCCTATTTTCTTATTTACTACATTAAATTTAATTTATTTTTTTCATAAGTAATAAGAAGATAAGGAAATATATCCATGAGTGATTACTTTTTATTTAGTTTCTTTTTTATCTATATTATTGACTAAATTAATCGTAACTTATTCATATAAGGTAAAAATATTGGATATTTAAAATGTAATAAATATAATTAATTTAGTTTAACTAATTATTTTTTAAGTAATAAAGTGTTACTATAAAAAATAATTAAAATATTTTAAATAAATAAAATACATTTATAAGAGAACAAATGGTGATTTTTTAAAACCATCCACATATAAAAAATATAAACTATCTACATTGGGCTATTTCTTTTTTTTTTTTATCAAAAGCTTTGGTTTTTATATATTTATATAAGATATTATGTATTTAACTTGTTTGGGAGAAATGGAAAATAAGGATTTTGATCTATTCCAAAATTAATTTTAATTGATTGGATCATCTTTTAATTATTTTAAAATTAATATATGTACATATTAAGCATGTATACATAGCTTAAAAGGTGGAGTAAATAAATAGGCCATAGATTAAAAAATTAGAAAGTGAATTTTTTTTTTACATAAATACAATTTAAGAGTTGAATATTATAATTGAAAAAAGAGAACACCAAGTTATTCTATGATGACAATTAAAATTTTATTATCTTTAATATAAATTTAATTGAGAGTGATTTAAGGTAAATAATAAAAAAAATAAATGTAATTAATTTATTTTTTAAAAATAATTCAAATAAAATAAAATATAAGACACATAGTGATTTTCAAAATTGTCCAAATGTCAATAATATAAGGCATTCACATTGAAAATTTTATTTTTTCTACCAGCTTTTTATATATTTATATAAGATAAGATTGATTTGACCATCTTTTAATCATTTTAAAATTAATATATATACATATTAATCGTGTATTCATAACTTAAAAGGTCGAGTAAATAAATAGGCTATAGACTAAAGAATTAGAAAGTGAATATTTTTTACATAAATATAATTTAAAAGTTAAATATTATAATTGGAAAAAGCAAACACAAAATTTTTCTTTAATATGAATTTAATTGAAAGTGATTTAAGATAAATAATAATAGAAAATAAATGTAATTAATTTAATTTTTTAAAAATAATTTGAAGAAGATAAAGTATAAGACGTATGGCGATTTTCAAGATCGTTCAAATTTCAATAATGTAACCATTCACATTGAAAATTTTCCTTTGCTACCAAAAGTTTTGGCTTTTATATATTTATATAAGATATTATGTGATTAAGTTGCTTGGGAGAAATGAAAAATAAGGATTTTGATATATTCCAAAATTAATTTTAATTGATTTGATAATCTTTTAATCATTTTAAAATTAATATACATAAATACTAAACGTGTATACATAACTTAAAAAGTGAGGTAAGTAAATAGGCCATAAATTAGAAAATAGGAAACTGAATTTTTTTATATAAATATAATTTAAGAGTTGAATATTATAATTAAAAAAAGAGAATAAAAAATTATTCTATGATGGCAATTAAAGTTTTATTATCTTTAATATGAATATAATTGAGAGTGATTTAAGATAAATAATAATAATAAATAAATGCAATTAACTTAATTTTTTAAAAATAATTCACATAAAATTAAATATAAGACACATGATGATTTTCAAGATCATCAACATGTCAATAATATAAATCATTCACATTAAAATTTTTTCTTTTTTACCAAAGACTTTAGCTTTTATATATTCATATAAGACATGAATTTAATTAAGAGTGATTTGAGGGAAATAGTAATAGAAAATAAATGTAATTAATTTAATTTTTAAAAAATAATTCAAATAAAATAAAAATACATGGTGATTTTCAAGATCATTTACATGTCAATAATATAGATCATCCATATTAAAAAAAAAAATTTTTTACCAAAAGTTTTAGCTTTTATATATTTATATATGATATTATGTATTTAAGTCGATTGGGAGAAATGAAAAATAAGGATTTTGATATATTCTAAAATTAATTTTAATTTATTTGATCATCTTTTTATTATTTTAAAATTAATATATATATATATATACTAGCTAAACCTGTATATATACTTAAAAAGTGAAGTAAATAAACAGGCCATAGATTAAAAAAATAGGAAAGTAAATTTTTTTACATAAATATAATTTAAAAGTTGAATCTTATAATTGAAAAAAATATACAAAATTATTCTATGATGTCGATTGAAGTTTTATTATCTTTAATATGAATTTAATTGAAACTAATTTTAAGATAAACAATAATATAATTAATTTAATTAATTTAATTTTTTAAAAATAATTCAAATAAAATAAAATATAAGATACAAGACGATTTTTAAAATCATTCACATGTTAATAATATAAATCATTCTCATTGAAAATTTTATTTTTTATCAAAAATTTTAACATATATATATAAGATGTGATTGAGAAATTTTAAATAGAAAGATTAATGTATCTACATTTGAAATTCTAAACAATATGCTTAAATAGACTCCATTGCAATAACAGTAAACTTTCATTCATTATTTTATTAAAAAAAAAACAAATTTATCTAAAGCCTGCAGATAATAAAAATGTGGGGAAAAAAAAAGGACGGAAAGATGCCACCTTCTTTCTTTGGAAATCCAAAAAGCAAAGATAATTTGGGTCAAAGTTCAGAATGGCATATTTTCTTTTCTTTGAATGCTAAGACTGTCACAACCATCAGTCAGTCGGAGAAATTTCCAGAAAAGCTGGGAAGACTTTTCTTTTAAGACAGCCCATGATTTTGGTGCTCATAGTCTCCATAATATTCCAATACAAGTATCTTATTAAAAATTAAAACTTAATACCCAATTAATTCAATCTAAAAACAACAAACTAATAAATAATAAATAATATAATAAATAATCTTTAAATTATAATAAAATATTTAATAAAATATTTAAATTTAAAAAATATGTAATATGACATTTAAATTATAAATACATTAATTAATGTGATATTTTAAAATTTTTTTATTATATGTTATTGTTTAAATCACATTATAAATAAATAATATATCAATTAATAAATTTATAATTCAGTTATTATATTAAAAATTTTTAGAATTCAAAAATTACAATATAATTTAAAAATCATTTTTAACATTAGTCCGTAAAAAAGATAAACGGAAAAAAAGGCATTGTGCCATTGGAGGTCAAGAAGTAGATTCATTGATTGATCTTGAAAAAGAGAGGAAAACAAATTAGAAAGGGCAAAGAAAAAAAAAAAAAGCCAGGTAAAACTTTACTAGCAGAAAACAGTCACAGAGGAAGCCCAGTGAAGGAAAAAGTGAAAGGGCTTTTTACAAAGAAAAAATTTTCATCTCAGCTATAGCTGAAACTTATCAACATCTCCTTGCAGCTTATCATTCTGAATCCTGGAAATCAAAAGCTGGCAAATATTCCACCGATACACTATTTTTACATCAATAACCATAATTAAAAACAAGATATTTATTTTCCTTAATATAAACGGCCTTAAGAGTTATTTTACTTGCTGGATAAAAATCACAGTTGAATATTCCAGGATCATAGGTGAATAAAGAGCCCTTATTTCTTTTTCTTCTTTTCCTCTTTAGTCAGATTCATTCATCAACCCTCAAATGGATGGGACGATAACGTAGTGGGTGTCAGACATGAAAGTTGCTGCTGTTGCAGAACGCGAGTTAAACATATGGTCGTCGTTGTCCATTTCGGTTCTTTTGGTGAAGCGGCCTTTGATTCTTGGCCTTGACTCAGCGTAGGCCTTTCGTGAAGCGTAGCGGATTGTTTTCTCGAATTTTCTGTTCTTTCTCCTCTCTCTGTACCTTAAAACTCTAGCCTCTCGATCGATTCCACCTACTTGGGATGCTTGGTTTTTTGTCGTAGTTGCTGAGATGGGTCCGCTTGGATCAGTCATGGCTTGTCCGAAAGGGTACGAGATATTGGACAGGGAATTTTCATCTGGAACTATTCCTACCTCAAGCGACGATGATGAAACCTGAAGTTTTGTATAATTTGTATCAAGAATCAGTTTACAGAAGTTTATTTTTCAAAACAGAAAATTTGTTTTCTTCTGAAAATTGATAAAAGAAGGTTGAATTGTGAAGGGGAAGGAAATTTCCTTTTATGAAGAAGTAAGAAAAGATCAAAAGAGAAAAACCCAAATCGTTCCTTTTTTTTTTCTTTTTTGAGAAAAATGAGAAAATTATGTAATTGAAGAAAGCAGATTGAAGAATTTACACTATGGCTGAGAGACTGAGTTTGGTAGCTGAAAGTATGGAGCTTGGATCGACAGAAATCAATATCGAAACAATTTTCATTCTTGATGACTGGAATTATTGCTGGGTTGGTCTGAACTGGAACTACGCTATCCATAACTGCGTTATGATGCTGTTGAGATGAATTCCGGTACTCGAAATCAATAGAAGGATCCATTTCGTAGAAGAACAAATCCCCTGTTTCGGCTTCATTAGTTTCCACGGTGAGTTTGGTATTGAGGTTAGGATTGGGCAAGGACCAAGAACCTGGCTCTACATCTTCTTGTTGACAATTAGTGCCATTATGATCCGTCGGTACAAGAAAGCTGAAAGGAGAAGATTTGAGAATGAAATCAGTAGAGTCAAAGAAAGGCTCGATAGGGACACGCTCGTGGCGACGAGCCAGAGGATTAGCAGAATGAATGTCTGCATCGCACGTGATGCAAAGAGCAGCCGCGTCGGCCTTGCAAGTGACCGCAGCAGGGGCCTGCTTGCACACCTCACACATCCAAATCCTCTCATGACAAGAAGAGGAGAGTTTGTTATTACCAGAGTGGATCCTGGAATCACAATTCAGGCACATAAAAGCCGAATCCGCACGACAAAAAATAGCCGCTGCGGTTGATTTACATGTGTCGCATGCCTTTGCAGCCATGCCCCAGGCTCCCGTTATGCCCTTGACGCTTGCTATCTCAATTCCCATCCTCACAAATCAAAGCAATTGATGTTTTTTCTTCTTCTCCCTCTTCCAGTTCCTCTCTAAAAAGGACTACTGTTCTTTTTTTTTTTTTTTTTTTTTTGGTATCGGGGATCTTTGGACTATTTTTGGAGTATTGCAATAGTTTGTTCTTGTTTCGTTTTTGGGATTGGCTATCTATGTAGTGAGTAGAGTGGGGGGCGGGGGAGGGGGAATCTAGATGCTGACGAGTGAGAGAGGACACGTGGAATGACATACACCATGAAAAGTAACAAAAATATTTTGGGATTTTAATAATGATACGGGGAAGAAGCTGTCATGTGTCTGTGCCGACGTGGGCCCAAATGGAAGGAGAAGAGGTCGAGGGGAAGGATGAAGGTACCGAAAGATCAAACTTTTCACGAGACGACTACGAACTGAGAACGGGCGTCGCGATCACTTCGAATTTGACAGCGGATTATCCAAACGAGTCGGGCTCTTCAATCCTTCAATATTTATCTTTGGATGGATAATATATATATATATATATATTTTTTTTTAGTAAATTTTTTTTTAAAGTAAATTTAATTTTAATTTTAATTTTAGAATATATTTAAAAATATTAAAATATTTTTTAAGAATAAATCTTTTAAATTATATGAATTTGATTATATCAAACATTAACTAAAACATTTTAAAAATCAACTAAATTTACTCGATTATTAGAGGTACAAGTAAAATCATAATTTCTTAAGTTTTTTTTGTTATTTTTTTGTATATTATATTTTAGTATGCATAAATTATTACTATTTCTATATGTAATACTATTTCGACCGTTAAAGTACTAATAGATTAAAAAAATTATTAGGGGCATTTTAGTATCTAAAAGGTAAAATAAATTTTTTCTTAATATAAGTCAATTGATAAGCGGAGATATTTTGATCATTTTAATCGAGTTGACTTGTTAGGCCAACTTAAAATCCTGAAATCCATGTCAACTCGATCACCTTAACAACTTATGAGTTAATGCTTTAAGATACTGACTTGTTGTACTTTGAATGGACAGTCGATTGTCAATTCAACTCAGGCCTACAAGATCAGCCTTAGTCCCTTAGGCTAACCTCAAATAACCTACGCCAAAAACTCCCCATCACACATTTATAAATAGCCCTATCCAAATATTTCTCATCCATCTAATACTTTTAAAGCCTTTAAGCTTTTATTTCACCCTTTTCTCATTTCCTTTTTTAAACAAATCTCTTACTTAAGCTATGAAGCACAAACACTAAGACCACCCCAAACCTTTGTTGTTAATGGCTCTCTTTCTCTCATTTGCTTTTTCAAGGTTTTGCCCCACAGATAACTCGACATAAACATTTGGTATGCTAAGTATGGGGGTATTCCTATTTAGTCAAGCTAAAATGTCTTCAAGAAAAAGTGTAGTTAAGGAATAAGAAATTACTGCTGGGATAGAAACCTAGATCAGTTAGCCAAACCTAGATTGACCTGTTATAATAGTCCTTACCATGGAACAGTTTAAAGCACTTATTCAACAATTCCAATCCCTAAAAGAAATGATACAAAACCTAACCCTTACCATAAACTTCGTAGGCGCCAGACCAAATAACTCTAAAATACTCATCTACGCAAAAGTTGTTGACCTATGATGACACTACGACCTCATTGGCATTAGATGAAGATAAAACACCAATAACCTACTGCCCTACACATACCTTAACATAAGCCACCACACAAGAGTCCAATCAAGCCACTTTGAAACCATCGAAAACTTCAAATTTTGGCTGGGAAACTCAAATGGAAAATTCAAATATTCAAACACAAACCCAGGTTTTTCCAAAATTTCTTTTGAATCCTAATCTTTTCTTAAAATAAAACCATACAAAATCAAGCTTCTCAACAACTTTAAAATGAAATTTCACACAAACAAAACCTAGATTTGATGATATTCCAATAAAGAAAAATAAAAATTTCTTTACACCCAAAAAATTTCCTCTTATGATCTTTGTGCGATTAATTATGATTTATAGGAATTTTTTTACAAAAATTTTAAGGATTTGTCCTTGAATATTGTGAATTGTTAATGGGTTGATTTTAGAGCCTTACTTTGATTCAGGATTTCCATATGATTCCAGTCAATATTTCATTTCCAATTTCATGCGAAAATAATTTAAAGATTGATCTTCGAGAAGAAAAATCTGATTATGTTTCCTTTTTTTTTAATGATAATAATAATTTTTTTATTAAAACAGAAATGTAATTGAAGAATGGGCTCAAAGCCCAAATATCATAAGGTATCCCATATTGGGCTTAAAACCCAAAATCACTTTTAAGCCTCATACCAATTTACAGGGCTGATAGACATCCGAAAAGCCCGAATAACACAAATCGAAGTTCAAATTACGGGCTTCAAACAAAATGAGATGTCTACAGTTGTCTCTCTTTGTACATTTTTATAAAATATGATTGCTGTAAAGATAAAGACAACCATTGAGTCTGGCTCAAGGACCTTCTAAATAGAGGCATGCATTTTTTTTTAAATTTAAAGAACTCCTCTAAACAGAAGATAAACAACTTTAAAATAAGAATGTGTTCTTCTAAATAAAGGCCAAACAAATTTAAAATGAAAATGCATTCCTCTATTCATAGGCTAAACAACTTTAAAATAGGAAATGTGCTCTTATATTCAAAGGTTAAACAACTTTAAAATATGAAACGAACTCATTTATTTAAAGGCTAAACAACTTTAAAATGGCTTCTTAACCAGAGGTGAAGTTCGAGGATTTAGAAAAGCCTACCTCAGAGATTATCTCTCTTTTGATGAGCTTGTAGATGACTGATCGCATCACACTTGCATAAGCAACTGTCTTAGCTTATTTTATGAAAAAATGAATCACCTTTCATTTTATGCTTTTAGAGCAATAGGCCTATTGACATCTATACCCCACATAGAGAATGGTCAAGTTGATACCAAAACATGTAAAATAGTAGGTGGAGCATGTATCTTATCAACATAAATCTAACATTTGTGACATTTTTGAGTATAATCGATGCAATCAACTTTTATTGTTAACCAATAATATCTGACTCTCATATTTTATCTCGCCATCATGTACCTATTTATATGTGCTCCACACACTCCATCATGCACATCTTTGATAATCTTCTTTGCCTTAGCTGTATTTACACATCGTAATAATACATAGTCTTTACTTTTGTAAAGAACCTTTTCATCTAAGAAGAATCATATAGCCAATCTCTTTAAGACTTTCTTACCATTTTTTATTACTGATCTAGGTATTGTTGACTTTCTTAAGTATTGGTAGGTATTTCATGGATGCCAAGGCTTTCCTATATTTTTTCTCTTCACAAGTTGGCATAATGTACTGGCAGGTCTTTGACATTTAACTTGATAGGCTGAACCTCAGTTTGTTATAAATCTAGATCATCATAGTCAGCGTGGCTAGGGCATTTCGTAATTTATTTTTTTCACAAAGTGGAATGTTTAAACTAGACTTACTTTGAACCACTCGCCATTAACTCCAAATTTGTACTTATTGATACCGGGATAAAGCTTTTGAATCTCTTGTCACCCATTCCCCTTTCAATTGATAGATAACTAAATGTTGAATCCTTGACACCTTTAATGCTTTAATTTTTCTATCCAAAGCAAACTTGTAAACCCATAACACAAGCCTCGTATTCAGTCACATTATTGGTGTAATTGAAGTTTACCTTGCTAACAAGATATGAATGTCCTAAAATTCAAAATTACTTAATTCCATCCTAGCATTAATGGCAATCGAAGTACATCTTAATATTCTCATTATTTTCCTTTATTTTGAGAGGCCTTAATCAATACAAAAAATCAAATCATTTCTCATAGCTTTCAGAACACATTCAATAATGAGTTCTATGATGTCAATTACTTAAATTACCTATTTGATTCACGTACACAATAAAGCATATTCTAAAAGCATTACTTGTCACTTTGCAATCCTTTTTATAATATGGTTCTCAAAATGTACTTGATTGGCTTAGTTAAGCTATAACCAAGTGGTTGAAAGCATTATTACTATTGGAGTTCTTAGCATCTAACAAAGTACAACATATTTTCTCTAAATGATAAATACTTTACTATTATACTTTTTGTGAACTTCTTACTTAAATATAGATAGTTTTTTTTTTCGTATTAGAGTCATCTTGTTGCCCTAGCACACACCTTATCAACTTCTTATGTACAATCAAATATAGAGTTAATGGTTTTTTCAAAACAAATGGTACTAGCACTGAAAGGTTTCACATGTATTGCTTAACCCTATCAAAAGCTTCTTGACATTTTCCATTCCATTCACTAGGTTGTTCTTTCGAATAAGCTTAAAGATAGGGTCACATTTAGAGGTCAGTTGAAAAATGAATCTAAAAATATAATTCAATCTGCCTAAAAATTTTGGACCTTTTTTTTAGCATACTTAGAAGATATAAATTCTAGATGGCCTTTATTTGTCTAGATCAACTTTGATTCCCTTTTCAATAACCATGAAGCCTAGTAACTTCCCTAACTTAGCTCTAAATATACATTTGGATGGATTTAACTTAAGTTAAAATTTTCTTAATCTCTCGAACAATTTTTTAAGGTTAGCTATATGGTCTTCTCTTCCATAAAACTTTATGATCAAGTCATCCATATAAACCTCAATCTCTTTGTGTATCATGTCATGAAAAAGTGTCATTATAGCCTTTTGATATGTTGCCCCAGCATTTTTCAATCTAAAGGGCATGACCTTGTAATAAAAGGTACCCCATATAGTTACAAAAGTGGTTTTTTACATGTCATCTTGGGCCATCTTTATTTGATTATAACTTAAAAATCCATCCATAAAAAAGAACACAGAATGTCAAACTGTATTATTTACCAATGTATCAATATAATGTAGAAAAAATTTATCTTTTAGGCTGACTTTGTTCAAATCACGATAATCCATACATATTCGTACAATTTCATCTTTCTTAGGAATAGAAACTATATTAGCCACCCACTTAAGATATTTGGCTATTTGTAGAAAGCCTACATCAAACTATTTTTTTACCTCTTTCTTTATCTTCATTAACATTTCAAGCTTCATCTTTCTCAACTTTTACTAAACAAGCCTACATTTGAGCTTCAGTAGCTTATGTTTTACTATTTCAGTGCTAAGCCTTAGTATATCCTGATAAGACCAAGCAAACACATCTACAAATTCCCGAAGCATATTCTCTAACCTTTGTCTATTAGTAGATGAAAACAACATGCTAACCTTAACTTCCTTTTTGTTCTCATTATCTTCTAAATT